AATAAACCCTTCTGCTTTCTTAGGGCGCTTCACCTCTCAGTTCGAACAGGACGGTTGTTCGAACAGGCGAAATGTTACATTTTCGCCACTCCTCGTATGGGTGTTCGTGACGTCGCTAGTCGGAAATTTCGCGAATTTGAACAGAGTTGTCACACGGGGCACGAAGCTCTCCATTCCGCACGTTCGAACAGAGTTGTTCGAACAAAGTTGGGTTTGGTGACAGGAATTCCGCATGGACGACTGATTTTATTGGTTAGCAGGCTTCGGGTCGCACTTGAATGTTTGCGACCATTGCAAATGTCGCCATGCAGGAGAAAGTTCATCAAAAAGGACATTGTTGTTGGGAAACAACAAGGTGAGCAGTAGTAGAAGAGCACGAAGAGACTATTTGACTGGATGGGCGAAAAATAAGTCAAACTTGAATGGCAGACGACAGAATTATTTTTTTGCGACGTTTCGCGAAGTCGTCCAGCACTTGGCGACGTCGCATGTTCGAACAGGCTGTCACCTCTAGTCACGAGCTGTCACATTCACAAAGGTGTTCAAATTTGTGTTCGGATCTCGTCGGGAAACTGTTCGTACAGTGAATTCGTTACGTATGTTCGGATTTGGGCCTTCCAGCCCCGAGGTGATGCGCCCTTACTCGCTCCTGCCACTCCTGACATCCATATCCTTCCATGGCAACACCTCCTTATGTAAGGAATTTTCTCGGCATTCCTTACGGAGCCGACTACATCGCGTACAGCAACAGCCGTTGTTCGCCCGTTACTGCTAACGGGACTTCGCTGACTTCGCGCGCACTGTTTTGCCAAACCTCGCACTGCTGGCATGGCCGTATCGGCCTACGCTTCGGGACTAGCCCGAGCCTCGCTCCAGCGTAGCACTAGCAAGCTCGCATGCACCGCGTTACCGTTTTGCATGTTTCGCGTATAAATGTTCGCTCATGCCTTCGCTCACATTTTGTACTCGTTTGACACCTTAGTGCAATTCTCGCTACTTCGATTCATTGCACCCGTAACACTTGGTTATCAGAGCCTTTTTCTTTCGGACCGCGCATCTCCGCACACCAGGAAATCAACTTTTGATTTTTCACTCGAAGGGACTCACGCACCTTAGCCCCTAGGAGCCGCTGCCCTCGCGTTCTCTCGTAAACGTGTGCAGCCACGACTGCGCCTAGACTAAGACGAGCCGACGCCCTTCGTCATGGCTGAGAATATCGACGTCACCACCCTCACGCAGGAGCGTTTGAACGATCTGCTGCGACAGCTGCACGAAAGTTCCGAGGAAATCGCGGCATTGACGGCAGAACGCTCATCGCTGCAAAATGACCTCACGAGGGCACAACAAGCACAATCTCAAGCACCTGGCACTCCGATTCAACCTGCACCCTCGACATCACAACACGGGAGTGTGGGGCAACCCGCGAGCGCGGCCAGTGATGGTGTCGTCCGCCCCGACGGGGACGATGACCACGACACGACACACCACGGAGCGACGCATGCGGCCCCAAGTCAGCCTCGCGTCACGATTTCGGCACCAACCCACGATTCGGGACTGCCGTCACCGAGGCCGCTGAAGCCGCAGCGCCCGCCATGTTTTGACCCGAGTCAACGAGGTGGTCCTACCGTTCAGGCGTGGTTGTTCACGATGAATGTCTTCTTCGACGCCAACTACGTCTCGGAGGACTCGGCGAAGATTCGATACGCCGTGTCGCTGTTGCGAGGACCCGCCATGGACTGGTGGCGCGTCATCGTCACGAAGCCGACAGACTACGCGACACTACCGACACGGGAAGGACATGTGAGAATCTTAGGTGTGGGGCCTAGGCTTAGTAGCCTAGGCCCACACTAGGAGATAGGTAAGTTCGAGTGGGTTAGGTGAGAGTCGAGAAATTGGAAGGGAAGTAAAGTGACTAGCAAGAGTTGGGATACAAGTACATTGCCCTAAATTGGGTTGTACTCATTACAGAGTACCCCACTGCAGGCTAGACAGCAAATATATTCTGACAGGACAAACCGGACCCTGGGCGCCGTCGTATTTCGTGGAGGTGCCCCAGTATCGCACGTGGGATGCGTGGTGCGCAGGTCTGCGCGCTCGATTTGAGCCAATTGCGGCTTCGATCGCGGCGCGACAGAAGCTCCGCACTTGGCGCCAACTCGGTTCCGTCCAGGACTACACGAGCGAATTTCTGGCGCTATGCGAACAGGTGGGCTACATGCATGAGAGCGAGCGCATCGACCGCTACATCGGCGGCCTGAAGCAGGACATCGCTCAGGAAATCCAGCTTCGCGGCGTCACCGAATTTCAGGAAATTCTCGCTATGGCGGAGAAGCTCGACTTCTTTCGCCGACCGAGACCGGGGTCCTACAGAAACAACAACTGGGGACATCGGCCTCGTGGGACGAACGAGAGCGCCACGATACGCGCCGTCGCCGCAAATGCCGCTGCCGCACCGTTCAAAGGGCGCTGCTTTGCGTGCAATCGGCTGGGACATCGCAAGAGCGAATGCCCGGAAAACGCTAAGGGAAAGGGGGAAGCTGAGCAGCAGACACAGACCAAGCAGCAGGGAAACGCTGGAAGTCAGTAGCAGACGGGCCCTCTACTGACAGGTCACGCCGCTCGCCCGACCCAACCGACCCTCACCGAGTGATTGTGCCGGTTCACGCAATCGACCACACCCGGCCGAATAAGGAGGGTACCACGGTAGACAGCCCTATACTGCTCAGTGGGAAAATTGGGACGGACTTAGTTAAAATCTTCGTAGATGGGGGAGCCAGCCACAGCCTCATTAACACTGCTGCGGCACGAAAACTGCGACTGCCACTGGACAGATGCTTACCTGAGATCGACGCACGACTGGTAGACGGCACGCCACTGGCAATACGGGAACGCGTAGACCGAGTTCGGATTCGATGTGGGGGTAACTTCACATTCAGCCAGGAAATGCTCGCAACGACCCTCGACGGAACCGACATTTTACTCGGGCGTGATTGGCTGCGACGACACAATCCGCGAATCGACTGGACGACGGGTGACAGCACTGTGCGAGTGAACGGTAACAACATCGCCTTACCTCGCTGGGGATCGCCTGAGTCTTCGTCGGTGCGTGTCAATGCGATCACGATGAAACGCGCTGTAGCGGCCGGAGCTGACGTGTACGCGGTTGACATTCGGGAAGCCGAGGCAGCAGACAAGGGAGGGGATTTACAGAAACTGCTGACCGACGTACCGAGTGATCTGGCAGCACTGTTAACACAATACAGTGACATTTTCCCGGATGACTTACCGACGGGACTGCCACCTCAGCGACCGCACGATCACAGGATAGAACTGGAACCGGGGGCACAACCAACAGTACAGCGACAGTTCCGACTGACCCAACCCGAACTAGACGAACTAAGGAAGCAGCTCGATTACCTGCTCGAGAAAGAATTCATTCGCCCTAGCTCGTCGCCCTTCGCCGCACCAATACTGTTCACACCGAAAAAGGACGGGGGATTTCGCATGTGCATAGACTACAGAGCACTGAACAGGGTTACCATCAAATCTCGTTACCCCATCCCACGAGCTGACGAACTGATCGACCAACTGCGCACAACCCGGGTTTTCTTGAAAATTGACCTCCGGGGAGGCTACCACCAAATCCGCGTCAACCCACCCGACTGTCCTAAAACCGCATTCCGAACACGCTACGGATCTTTCGAATACACTGTCATGCCATTTGGGCTGACCAACGCCCCCGCCACTTTCCAAATGACCATGAACGAAGCATTCCGCCCACTTTTAGATAAGTGCGTCATCGTTTATCTGGACGACATACTGATTTACAGCCCTGACAGAGCACAGCACTTACAGGTGTCAGAACATATCTATAGCTTATACTATTGTGTAGGCTGTAGTGGGGTATCCCATAGGGGGTTCAACCCAGTTAGGGTTTCATATTTGTACTGCCTTCATTCATAGTTCACACATCTCTGTTCACTTGTTTCACATGGTATAGAGCGGGTCCTTCCTAAGGACCGTTTTTTTTTAGGGCCCACCGAAGCGCGCCCCGAGGCGCGCATTTTTTTTTAGCGACCCCTCGGGTCGCCATTTCCCTCGCGGCCCCGCTGCCCCTCCTGATCGCGGCCCCGCCGCCTGCTTGACGCGACCCCGCCGCCTCCACTGACGCGGCCCCGCCGCCGGCTCTGACGCGGCCCTGCCGCCCGCTACGTCGCGGCCCCGCCACCTGCTTGACGCGGCCCCGCCGCCTCCACTGACGCGGCCCCGCCGCCGGCTCTGACGCGGCCCTGCCGGCCCGCCGGTGCACCTGACGGCCCCGCCGCTGCACCTGCCGGCCCGCCGCTGCACCCTACGGCCCGCCGCTGCACCCTACGGCCCGCCGCCTCACCTGACGGCCCCGCCGCTGCGCCTGCCGGCCCGCTGCTGCACCCTACGGCCCGCCGCTGCACCCAGCGGCCCGCCGCTTCACCTGACGGCCCTGCCGCTGCACCTGCCGGCCCGCCGCTGCACCCTACGGCCCGCCGCTGCACCCAGCGGCCCGCCGCTTCACCTGACGGCCCCGCCGCTGCACCTACCGGCCCGCCGCTGCACCCTACGGCCCCGCCGCTGCACCTGCCGGCCCGCCGCTGCACCGGTCGACCCGCCGCTGCACCTGCCGGCCCGCCGCTGCACCTGACGGCCCCGCCCCTGCATCTCCCGGCCGAGCCGCCCCAGCAGCAGAGCCGCCTCAGCCGCCGAGCCGCCCCAGCAGCCGAGCCGCCCCAGCAGCCGAGCCGCCCCAGCAGCCGAGTTGCCCCAGCTGCAGTGCCGCCCGAGCCGCCCGAGCCGCCGAGTCGCCCGAGCCGCCCAGCAGTCGAGCCGCCCGAGCCGCCGAGCCGCCCGAGCCGCCCAGCAGTCAAGCCGCCCGAGCCGCCCGAGCCGCCCGAGCCCTCCCTGCACTGCCCTGTCTGGTGAGCACTGAGCTTTACTCTGCGCACTGCCCTCTCTCTACTGCTGTCATGGCTACCCCCACTGTCCTCGCCTTTGATGTAGAGGGCAGAGCCATTGACTTTGACGTGTGGGTAGACGACCTACTGCTTTTCCTACAGTGCGACAGAGCTGACGGACTCTCTCTCTTTGATCTCACTTCTGGTGCCTCTCCCGCCCCTGCTGCTACTGAGGATGCCACTGTTCACTCACAGTGGGCCACACGCGATGCTGCTACACGTCTTGCTGTGCGTCGCCACCTCCCTCCCGCTGAGCGTGCGCACTTTGGGTCGTACAAGAGTGCTAAGACCTTGTACGACGCCGTTATCGCACGCTACTCCACCCCTGCCACTGCTGCACTGAGCCGCCTCATGCTACCGTACCTCTTTCCCGACCTTGCTGCTTTTGCCACAGTCGCCGACCTCATTACCCACCTGCGCACTAGTGACGCTCGTTTCCGCGCTGCACTTCCTGCTGAGTTCTGCGCCAAGAACCCCCCCCCCCCAGTACTTCACTCTCTACTACATTGTCACCCGCCTCCCTGACTCCCTTCGTGGAGTCAGGGACGACCTACTCGCAGTCTGCCCCACCACTCTCACTGTCGAGATCCTCGAGAAGTCCCTCCTCGCAGCCGAGAAGAGCATTCTTGCTGTAGGGGCCTCTCGTGGTGACCCGCGCACCCCCATCTTTGAGGGGTGTTCCCCCTCCCCCCTCCTGCCCTCTGTCGCCTCTGCTGCTGCTGCCGACCTTGTTGGTTTTGAGTCGGTCGGAGCGGCGTCTGCCCCCAGCGGGAGACGTCGCTCTGGCAAGAGCAAGGGGGGCAGGGGCGGTGGTGGAGGCGGCGGGGGCGGTGGAGGCGGAGGTAGAGGCAGCGGCGGAGGTGAGGGTGGTAGCGGGAGTAGTGGCGGGAGTGGAGGTGTCGGCGGAGGCAGTGGAGGCGGGGGCGGCAGCGGCGGTGGTAGTGGGGGTGGAGGCGGAGGCGGCGGTGGCGGCGGCGACGGTGGGAGTGGGGGTGGCGGTGGAGGTGGTGGCGGCGGCGGCGGAGGAGGCGGCGGAGGTCGTGGCGCGCCGAGGAGGAGTGGCTCCGGTGGTGGTCAGCGCCAGCAGCAGCAGCGTGGTCAGGAGACCCTCTCCCCGCAGCAGCTCCGTGAGTGGTACTCTGCGCGTCAGCGGGGTGGGGGTACTGGTCCGTGCACTTACGTCCTGCGCACTGGCGACCGTGCGGGTGAGCAGTGTGGTGGTCCACACTCCGCCCAGCGTTGCTTCGGCCGCCTGACTGACGCTTGGCGCCGCCAGTTTCCTAACGCCTCTGAGATCCCTTGCTGGGACCAGCTGTCTAGGGCTGGAGTAGCTATCTTTGATCTTGACTTTGATGCTATTCTTGCTGCTATGTATGCTGTGACTATTAGTGAGGAGGGTGACTGTTACCGGTGTTTCCCGCCCGACCCGGGCATTGGTACTGCGGCTCTAGGTGCTGTTGAGGCTGCTGCTCCAGGTGCTGGTGAGGCTGTTGCTCTAGGTGCCAGTGAGTCTGAGTCCTCAGGTGCTGGTGAGTCTGCTCTCTCAGGTACAGTGTCGCCTTCACCCTCTCTAACTTTCACTCTTGACTCCGAGGCGTCTCGCTCCTTCTTTCGAGACCGCACCACACTCACGCCGCTTAGTCGGCCAGTGGCGGTCTCCTTGGCAGACCCCTCTGGGGGTCCTGTTCTGGCTCGCTACTCCACTGTCCTGCCGTGCCCTGCGGTCCCGTCTGGCGCTCTGTCCGGTCTCTACCTCCCCTCGTTCTCTACGAACTTGGTGGCGGGTGCTGACCTACAGGATGCAGGGGTTGACCAGTTCACCCCTGCGCGCCGACGAGTCACCCACTGCACGGACGCGGACACGGGTCGACACCTGACCACATTCACACGTGGTCCAGGGTCGAGCCTGTACACACTCACTGTTCCGTCTCCTTCTCCTGCGTCTGGTCAGGTAGCTGCGTCGGGTCAGGTGTTTGCTGCAGCGTCCAGGTCTGGTCCTGAGTCTGCCCCCTGCTCGTGTCGCCTCCTGTCCCACGAGACCCTCCTGTGGCACCACAGGATGGGTCACCCCTCCCTGCCTCGTCTCCGGGGCATGGCCTCTCGCCTTCTTGTCTCTGGCCTTCCCCGGTCCCTCCCTCCCCTTCCTCCGGGGCCTGGCCCTCCCTGTGTCCCCTGTGTCGAGGGTCGCCTGCGGGCTTCCCCTCACTCCTCCCCGTTCCCTCCGACGGAGGCCCCGATGCAGACGCTTCACATGGACGTGTGGGGCCCAGCCCGCGTCCGTGGACAGGGTCACGAGCGCTACTTCCTGCTGGTGGTTGACGACTACTCGCGTTACACCACAGTCTTCCCCTTGTGCAGCAAGGGTGAGGTCACTGAGGTGTTGATCGACTGGATCCGCGCAGCTCGTCTCCAGCTCAGGCAGAGCTTCGGCTCGGACTTTCCTGTTCTGCGTCTGCATTCGGACAGAGGCGGAGAGTTCTCCGCCGGCCTTCTGCGAGCCTACTGTCGGGCACGAGGCATCTGCCAGACCTTCACGCTTCCGGACTCTCCACAGCAGAATGGGATTGCTGAGCGCCGCATCGGCATTGTCATGGACGTCGCCCGTACGTCCATGGTGCATGCGACTGCCCCCCATTTTCTGTGGCCGTTTGCGGTTCGGTACGCCGCGCATCAGATCAACCTTCAGCCCAGAGTCTCCCGACCGGAGACCTCCCCAGCTTTGCTGTGGACGGGGAAGGTTGGCGATGCGTCGGCGTTCCGTGTCTGGGGATCTCGGGCGTTTGTCCGCGACTTGTCTGCGGACAAGCTGTCCCCTCGTGCTGCTCCCTGTGTCTTCCTTGGCTTCCCCACAGACGCTCCCGGGTGGCAGTTTTACCACCCCTCCTCTCGTCGTGTTCTGTCCTCCCAGGACGTCACGTTCGACGAGTCAGTCCCCTTCTACCGCCTCTTCCCCTACCGCACTCCTTCCCTCCCCCCTCCGCCGGACTTCCTTGTGCCAGTTCCCCCCCCGGTAGACCCCCTCCCCCCTCAGGTTCCTGCCCCCTCAGGTGTGTCCCAGGTAGACGCAGTTGACCCGGTCGAGGTTACTGGTGACTCTGGTGCTGCTGCGGGTGCTGAGCCTGGGGGTGCTGACTCTGGGGGTGCTGTGCGCGGGGGTGCCGAGTCTGGAGGTGCTGCTACTGGGGGTGCTGAGCCTGGGGGTGCTGGGCCTGGGAGTGCTACTGCGGAGGGTGCTGCGCCTGGGGGTGCTGAGCCGGGGGGTACGGTGCCTGGGGGTGCTACGTCTGGAGCTGTTGAGCCTGGGGTTTCTCCTGCTGCTGCGTCTCGCCGGGAGCCCCTCTCTCCACAGGAGCTGCGCGAGTGGTTTGCTCGCCGCTGGAGGCGTGCTACTGGAGCTGGAGCTTCTTCGACCGTCGAGGGTGCTGGTGCTGCCGGTCCCAGAGCTGCTGGGTCTGCGGGTACTCCTGGAGCAGGAGCTCCTGAGGGTGTTGGTGCTGAGACTACTGCTGTCTGTCCCGGCGGTGGTTCTGCTACTGGTGCTGCTAGAGGTCCTGCCGCTGGAGGTGTTGGTGGCGCTGGTGCTGTCGCTGAGGGTGCTGGTGCTGTCCGTGCTGAGTCTGGAGCTGCCGCGCGGCCTCGACCGTACTTTGTTCCGCTCCTGCAGCAGGTTCTTGGTCTTTCTCCTCCGGTAGAGTGTTCACAGCCTGTCCAGTCACAGTCACTGTTGGAGCCTTCCTCTCCACTGCCTGCTCCCTCTCCTTACACTGGTCCTACTGGAGGTCTTGCTGAGCGTCGTGAGCCTGCGTCTCGTCCTGCGTCGCCTGTTCGTGCTGCTCACACTAGAGGTCGCGGTTCGCGTCAGCGTCCTCCTCCTGTCCCTGGCACGCACCGGATGTCTCTGCGTCCGTCCACTGCTCCTCTGCGTGCCCCTTTGCCTTCTCCTCCTGAGTCCTCTCTTCCTGCCCTTTCCGACCCGGAGTCGGACTCTCTTCGTGCTGCCAGTCCTAATGTCACGCGTCTGCTTGCTACTGTCGTCACTGACCCCTCTTTTGAGTCCACTGCTGCGTCTGCTCTTGTCGCTGAGCTCGTCGACTTTGCTGCTCGCTGTCGTCTAGACTACGCTGCTATTCTTGTTGCTGAGTCTGCGTCTGTCTGTCCTCCGTCCGTCGGGGGTGAGTGTGCTCTTGGCACGGACGTCCTAGAGGACAGGCAGGAGGAGTTACAGTGTCTGGCTGCTGCTTCACCTCATCTTGCGTCTGTACTGCTTGCTCCTGAGGGAGACCCGGATGCACTAGACATCCCGACTCCGCGCTCTTACGCGGAGGCCGTAGAGGGTCCCTACTCGTCTCAGTGGCAGGCAGCTATGGATGCAGAGATGGCTTCCTGGAAGTCCACAGGCACCTACGTTGACGCAGTTCCCCCTCCTGGGGCGAACATCGTCAGTGGCATGTGGATCTTCAGGGTGAAGCGGCCGCCGGGCTCTCCACCTGTCTTCAAGGCGCGGTACGTTGCTCGTGGCTTCAGTCCGCGGCAGGGAGTTGACTACTTTCAGACCTTCTCTCCCACCCCGAAGATGACCACTCTTCGGGTGCTGCTGCACATAGCCGCTCAGCGCGACTACGAGCTTCACTCTCTCGACTTCAGCACTGCGTTCCTGCAGGGTAGCCTGCACGAGGAGATCTGGCTGCACCGTCCACCTGGCTTCACTGGGACTTTCCCTCCTGGCACCCAGTGGAGCCTCCGACGGCCAGTCTACGGTCTCCGCCAGGCACCGCGTGAGTGGCACGACACACTGAGGACTACGCTTGCGGCTCTTGGGTTTGCTCCTTCTACTGCTGACCCGTCGCTGTTTCTGCGCACCGACACTTCTCTGCCGCCGTTCTACATCCTCGTGTAAGTCAACGACTTGGTCTTTGCCACAGCGGACACTGCTGGACTCGCCTACGTGAAGTCCGAGCTGCTGAAGAGACACTCGTGCACAGACTTGGGTGAACTGCGCAGCTACCTTGGCTTGCAGATCACTCGGGACAGAGCACGCCGCACCATTACCTTGACTCAGTCACACATGGTGCAGCAGGTCCTTCAGCGCTTCGGCTTCACGTACTCCTCGCCTCAGGCCACTCCTCTGTCTACTCGCCACTCGCTCTCAGCTCTGCCTTCGGATGAGTCCGTAGAGTCGAGTGGCCCGTACCCAGAGCTTGTTGGCTGCCTCATGTACCTGATGACCTGCACACGGCCTGACCTTGCATACCCTCTGAGCATTCTTGCACGCTATGTTGCTCCTGGGAGACACCGACCAGAGCACATGGCTGCAGCGAAGAGGGTATTGCGCTACCTGTGCAGTACGTCAGGCATGGGGCTAGTGCTTGGAGGGCGGAGTCCAGTGGTCCTTACAGGGCACGCAGACGCTTCTTGGGCTGACGACCAGACTACGCAGCGGTCGTCACAGAGTTACACCTTCAGTCTTGGTTCTGGCTCTGTCTCGTGGCGGGCTACTCGTTCGTCTTCGGTTCTCAGCTCCTGTTGTGAGGCTGAGATCTACGCCGGGGCCATGGCTGCACAGGAGCTTCGCTGGCTCACCTACCTGCTGACTGACCTTGGAGAGCCGCCTCGTTCTCCTCCAGTGCTGTACGTAGACAACAAGGCCATGCTGGCCTTGTGTCGAGAGCAGCGTCTGGAGCACAGAACGAAGCACATTGCTCTTCGCTACTTCCTTGCTCGTGAGCTACAGCAGCGTGGACAGTTGCGGCTTGCGTACGTGGCCTCTGAGGCCAACACTGCTGATGTGTTCACCAAGGCACTCGCGCCTTGTGACCATCAGCGCTTCTGCACCCAGCTGGGTATTGTCAGAACATATAGCTTACTTGTTTCTGTAGGCTATAGTGGGGTATCCCATAGGGGGTACAACCCAAATTAGGGTTTCCTATTTGTACTTACTTCGTTCATAGTCATTTCATTCTCGTTCATATCTTCTCAGGTCTTGTGCCTGTCTTGCCTCACTTGCTCTCCTCTTGACTTTACTTGTACTATGACATATATATATACCTGCTCTTGCTTGTCTAGTTTTATATATATATATATATGTCTGTACTCCTGCATGTGAACTGGCCTCTGGCCCTGCTCTTGTGCTCGGACTGTGTGGTGACTTTGTGATCCACCCCGAGCTTGCTTTGCTTTGCTTTGCTTGACTGGTCTTGTGACCCCTTGTTCTCCCCCACTTTGCCTATGGGGGTGTGTCAGAACATATCTATAGCTTATACTATTGTGTAGGCTGTAGTGGGGTATCCCATAGGGGGTACAACCCAGTTAGGGTTTCATATTTGTACTGCCTTCATTCATAGTTCACACATCTCTGTTCACTTGTTTCACAACAGGACATCGAAGCAGTTTTTAAAATCCTGAGTGAGAACCGCCTACTGACCAAAGCATCTAAGTGTGAATTTTTACAGGACCGCCTGGAGTTTTTGGGACATGTTATTTCAGCTGCAGGAGTGGAAATAGACCCGAAGAAAATTGCGACGATTCAGGCTTGGCACGCGCCGACCAACTTGACCGAGTTACAGAGTTTCCTGGGGTTCGTCAACTACGTGCGCCGGTTCGTCCCCGACATGGCGAAGCTGACTGCCCCGTTGACCGACCTGCTGAGGAAGGGGGTTGAGTACACGTGGGGGGAGAAAGAGCAAGCTGCTTTCTCGGCCCTCAAAAATATTTTGTGCTCACCGCCCGTGCTTCACATCGCAGATCCACACCGTCCGTTCGAACTCGTCACTGACGCAAGTGACATCGCTGTGGGAGTAGTACTGTTGCAGGACTTTGAGAATGGCCTCCAGTCAATCGCGTACGAGTCCCGCAAGCTACACCCGCCCGAACGCAACTACCCGATACACGACCGTGAAATGCTGGCGATCGTGCACGCGTTCAAAGTTTGGCGGTGTTACCTGACTGGCGCCGACGTGACAGTACGGACAGACCACCGTTCACTACAGTACCTTCGCGCCCAACCGAATCTCAACCCACGATAGATTCGCTGGTTGGACTATCTTGAGTCCAATTTTCACTACACCGTTACGTACAAAAAAGGAGCATCCAACATCGCCGACGCTCTCACCCGCCCCACCGCCCAACTCCACGCCATCCTACTCGCCCAGACCAACCCGCTTTTAACTGGCCTATTCACCCACGGATACCGCACCGACCCATTTTTCACGACCGGAAATTCACAGCAACTGGCAGAAGCAAAAGGAGTCTATTACGTAAAAACAGGCACCAACCGCATTTGGGTACCCGCGTACTCACTACTGAGGGAGCTGCTACTGCAGGAGGCACACGACGGGATTACCTCGGGCCATTTCGGGGTAGAAAAAACACGACAGCAACTGCAGCGGTATTACTACTGGCCGGAGCTGTTGACCGACGTACAGCAGCACGTGGGCTCGTGCCCTACGTGTCAGGTGATGAAGAGTTCAAGGAAGCGGAAGGCGGGTCAATTGCAGCCGATCCCACCGCCCGAACGCGCCTGGCAGCAAGTAACCATGGACTTCGTCACAGGGTTACCTTCGAACCCTGGGGGTAACGACGCGGTGATGGTCGTCGTGGATAGACTGACGAAGATGGCACACTTCGGAGCGTGCAAAAAGTCGATCTCAGCCGAGGAGACCGCTCGCCTGTTCATCGCAGCCGTTGTTCGCCTGCACGGGATACCAGCAGCGATTATAAGCGACAAGGACACGAAGTTCACCAGCAACTTTTGGAAGAACCTTAGGGAGCAGTTCGGGACCAGACTACAGTTCAGCTCGTCGTACCACCCCGAGACCGACGGCCAAACGGAGCGGACGAATCAGACGATGGAGCAGTTGATTCGTGCCACGTGCGACGACCCCACGACCTGGGAGCAGCAGCTGCCGTTGATCGAGTTCGCGTACAACAACGCCACGTCAGCCACGACGCAACAGTTCCCGTTCTACCTGAACTATGGGCAACACCCAACAGTGCCCATGACGCCGAGTCCGGACAACCCAACGCCACGTGCACAACAATTCGCCGAAATCCTGCAAGCTGCCCGCACCAGAGCCGCCGAAGCAATAAAAAAAGCCAACGTCATCGCTAAGCGCAACGCTGACCGCCACCGACGCCCTGTCACGTATCAATCTGGAGATTACGTGCTGCTTGACACGCAAAATCTGCGACTGCCCGACGTACCGAAATTACGACCGCGCTACTGTGGACCATTCCAAATCAGTCACATGATCACACCCGTCACCGCACATCTACTGTTGCCAACCGACTGGTACATCAGCCCTTCGTTCCACGTCAGCCTACTTCGCCCATACATCCCGACCACAAGTCAACTGCCGCGTCACCGCCCACAATCAATGACTTGCCCTGCATCGGAGCCGATCATCGAGCCCGGAAAAATCCTGAGCCATCGGATCCGCCACCCCACGGGAATCAGAAGGATTGAATTCCTCGTTCGCTGGAAGGACCGCACGCCAACTGAAGATAGCTGGGTACCCCTGACCAACATTGAAAAACACCCTGCCCTGCACGTGTACCTGAGGAGCCGGGGATTCCGCGATATACACGCACTCGCGTAGCGGAGGGGGCTTCTTAAGGGGGGGGGGGGGTAGTGTAAGGAATTTTCTCGGCATTCCTTACGGAGCCGACTACATCGCGTACAGCAACAGCCGTTGTTCGCCCGTTACTGCTAACGGGACTTCGCTGACTTCGCGCGCACTGTTTTGCCAAACCTCGCACTGCTGGCATGGCCGTATCGGCCTACGCTTCGGGACTAGCCCGAGCCTCGCTCCAGCGTAGCACTAGCAAGCTCGCACGCACCGCGTTACCGTTTTGCATGTTTCGCGTATAAATGTTCGCTCATGCCTTCGCTCACATTTTGTACTCGTTTGACACCTTAGTGCAATTCTCGCTACTTCGATTCATTGCACCCGTAACACCTTACTTACATTCGATTCCTCTCTTCTGGAAATGCTTCGGCTTATTTTACTAACAACCAACACTTAGAAACTTCATTGTCTTCTTTTGCAGTAACTAGCAAAAGTATTGACGAAATGTCTTTCAATGTTACGTTTCGGGTCCCACCGAATCTGATTCGACGTAAATCCAAGGATCATAGCAGCAAAAAGAGGCAACGGAATGCTCTAGTAATGGCGTCGTCAGTAGCATGCGTACAGGTAATGCTTGTTTGGCGCACCCAGCTTTGCCTTGTGCTCTGGGCATATAAGCGGTTTTGACATTTCGCACGGTTCGTACAGGTTCGCCAGAGCCATGACGTGCTCTTAAAAAGCACAGGTTGTTACATGTTTGTTTTTTCCCAAACAGTAGAGGGCGGCTGGTTTTGTTGTTTGTAAGTTGCACGATTACCTCTATTTTTTCCGTCCAATATAGCATGCGAGTACACACCCTTCCTCAAATTGTCACAAACAGCAAACCCAACCCACCAGCCAATGAAACACTCAAATTTGTACTCATGCTACTTCCCCGTCATCGTTCTTCGATCGCGGCAATGTTCACAAGATGTGCACATTGCCGGCAGGAGGAGAGTTGAACTCGTCCAAGGGGATTCAAACCCCTTCACGGGCGCATCCATTCGGCGGCTGCCAGGTAGCCTCCCATGACGGCCGGCACACCGCCGTCAATCAGCTCCTGGCGGCGCGCCGCCTGCTGAGCCATAGTCACCCACGATGGGGTGGGCTCCGTCATCCATGCCGGCAGCACACGGCCACGGCGACGAGGTGTCTCGCCGATGGCGTGTCGCCCTCACGCAAGGCAGGCGGCGGGGTCATGTTGAGATTAATAGGCGGGCTGGCGCGCTCCATACGCGCCCTGATGATGGGGTTGCGGATGTCGAAGAGCGCGCACAAGTCCCGCGGGGTGATG